CTCCGTATCTCGGGTCCCCATCTAGGAAAGAAGCCCCAGGACTCGCCTAAAGAGTCTCTCCTCACCCCACCCCACCCTGCACAGGTGGTTGCAGCTTACACCGGGAGAGCTAGCAGCGGGCCATCCAGGAAGAAAGGCAGCTCCACATTGTCCCACCAGGTCCCACATGCCGACGTCCCACACCCTGACTCGCCTGCCAGCCGGAGTCAGTAGTGACCCACGGGCGCGCCTCTGCTACCCTCTGGTCCACGACCCCAAGATGCAGCTTGTCCTGCGCAGGGGGCAGCCGCTCCCTGGGGAGAATTCCATCCCCCCCCCCAGGTCCTCCCAGGCAAAGAAGTCCCACCATAAATAAATAAACTCCAAAGGGGGAGGGGGAGCTGGAAAATGGATTCGCTGACAAGGAGAGATAATAAATGAGAGGCGCTTTCAGATAGGTATCTCAGACGTGAAATTGCGCCCAGCTGGTTGTGTAAGCAAACAAATAGTTTCATGTTAGGAACTCTCAACTTGTGGCTTGATGAATAGAACACGACAGAGGTAAATGGGTCTTTAACTCATTTAGGAATACAACTCTTTGGCTCTCCAAGTAAAAGGCCCAATGACTCTATGGATCCTGAGCAGGCCATTTAACAAGAGTTTTATTAGTTCCCACTTGTGTACCCCTTCACCACCTCCCCATGCTCCTCAAGGTCTCCCGGTTGCAGACATTCAGGTGATTTGTTCTGAGGGATAGTGCAGCTTAGGAGAGGCGAATCTGCCACTTTGAGGGATATAAAGAGTACCTACCAGTGGAAGAAGAGGAGAAAGAGGATTTTTTAAGTAAACTTTGCACGTTCTAAGAGGAAGACTGGAGATGGTGTGGGATCGAGGGTATACAGAGCACCAGAATCCGTAGATAAAAAGCTGGGCGGTGGGGCCTCCGGGAACACACCAAGACTGTGCCTCTGAGAAGGCCAGGGGGGGTGAGCCTGGATCAACACGAGAGGCGGAGCCCTCAAAGTCCTAGGTTGTCTTGGTGGTCTGAAGGGATTCTATCCCCCATCCCCCGGGCCTGGTTCCAGGTTGGGGTGTGTGCATGAGGGGCAAAGGTCACATTTTTCTTCCTTTGTGCGAGGCCTTGTCCCCCAACCTCCCCGCCCACGCGTCGGATAAGGCTCAGCCCCATCCCGCCAAGCAATTCTCCGAGGAGAGGACGTCCTTCCGGAGATGTTATTTCTGATGTTTTCAGCAAAGCTTCTGTCTAAAGTTGTTTAGCAGACTTCAAAGTCCCTAAAGTTCACAGTCGCCCAGCAAGTGTTTGGGTTAACGTTTGACTTTCTTGTGTCACAGGTCATTTTGAAAGGGAAGTCACCTTGTGCGGGCTGCTCTCCAACTGTTAAAATGTATATCCTCCGGCTTTAGGGATCCCGTCGGTTCTACCACGCCCAGTCAGCCCAGCCCTTCCCTCTGGACTCATTAGAGCAAGAACAGCCGACAGGCGAGTGAGGCTGCGCGCCCTAAGCGATTGTCTGGACTACACCTGTCCGCGGCCTCGCACCAGGTTCCACGGCTCCCCCTGGCGCCCGGCACGAAGGCAGGCGCCCTGTTCAGGGGCCTCCAGGCCCTCTCCTAGGCACCAATGGCTCCCACTTGCTCCACCTCATCGCCTGCCCACGTCTGGGCCCAGGCGTCTTTCAGGGTCTGCGGAGACACAGGAGCTCTAGAACTTCGAGCTCGGGCCACCAGGCACTACTGGACCTGCCACTACGCCCTACTCGGCCCTCACCCATCCCCCTCGGATGTGGCCACGGTCAGCCAGGCCCGGGGAGCCTTTAGGTGACTAGAGCAGGGAGGATGTTTCCCGGTTGTTGGAAGGCACAATCTGCTACTTGGATTCGGCAGTCTCGCCTCCTAAACATTCCCTTGGCTCTAGCGGATCCACGGATCTCGACTGCGGGCAGGGAGAGCCAACAGCCTCCTGGAGAGCTCAGCTTGTCCTGCCCAGTGGGGGCGCCACGTGGGCCTGCGGCCCCTAGTAGGCCCTGTTTCTCTGGACCCAGAGAGACCTCTGATTGGAGAAAGATGACTTTTTCTGTGCGTGTAACGCAGGTGGCACACTCTGCAGCCACCGGGGAGATAGCAGAGGGGAGAAATCCACTGCCCATGCCCCAGATCAGCCAGTTGAGCACTGGAAGCTAAGCATCCCTTGCTAATCCTGTCCCTCAGCCCTAGGGCCTCTTGGTTCCTAGGCCGAGCCCCCAGGGATTCTCTGAGGCCATAGATAGTAAGGCCCGCTCTTTCTCCCAAGCTGTGCAAGGCCTGCTCCTCAGATGGGCCGAGGTTCAAAAAGGGCTCGGAATTCCCCGGGCCAGGAGCCACTGTCCAGAACCTTCCGGCAAGAGTCAGGTTGCCACGACACCTCCTGGCCTCCTTCGCTCTTGGGCTAGTCTCTGCACTGAGCGCCCTGTTCTTGGGTCTCCATATTGAAATTAATTGAAAAATACGTTTCCGACCTATGAAAATGTTAGCTGTTTTCATCAGAGGGATCACACTGTAATGAATATATTTACATCTCATTGCAAGAAAGGCAGGGAAGATCGGTGAGCGCTTCCAGGCGGCTCGGCTGTCCCTCCGCCCCGCATCTCCGCTGCCGTCCTCCCTACCCCAGTCCCCTCACTCTGAGATCGGGCGACCAAGAGAGCTCCCCGAGACTTCCTGGGAGAAGGCCAGGCGCTAAATATGAGCTCTCCCCCCTCCTCACCTTTGATGGCCTAACTTACAGGAAAGTCAGCCTAGGCTCAAAGATACTGCCACTGGGCTTGTTCGGAGGATTTGGCCGGAAGTGGGGTGCGGGTGTGTGTGTGTGTGTGTGTGTGTGACTCGGTGGGACAAGCTGGACGGCTGGAGGGGCCGGCGGGTCGAGGAGCTCAGTACTCCATACTCCCTCTGCTCAGCTGCCCTAGGGCTCAGACTGGCCCCTGTCGGAGCCAAGAAAGGATAGTGGACTAGCAGGGGCTTCTCCAAGAGCGCGGCCCTGCCCATTCTGAGCTGCACCCAGAATATGAAAAACCTCAAGCGAGTTGGGGTGTAAGAGCTTGTTAATGCATTTTTTTTTAAGGGGAATCATAAAAACCTGGAGACTTGTAGACAGCAAATTGAAAGCAAAACATTACTAGTGACTTCTGAAAGTGAAGCTCTTACCTCATCCAGGCCTGGTAGGGTTGGGGAGGAGGCGAGGTAAGAGGTGTTATTTCAAAAGATCTGGCTTTATTAATACACTAAGAAAGAGCTCCCTTGGCAGTATGTGTTCTCAAAGCTCCGCTCAGATCCTATAAAACATTCATGCTCCGAAAGCTGTTACTGAGCTGCCCCCCACACGCACACCCAACAGGAGTCCTCAAGGGTAGGCTTCTGCCTTCAAAGGGCCACTAGGGCCCAAATCTCGCTTCTGGGAAGAACCGTATCCAGTCCAGCTCCTCACCTCCCAGGTTCAAGGTCTACACCCCTAAGTGCCCCGGGGGGGGGTGTCTTCCATTCACTCACCAGAGTTCTAGTGCCCTCCAGGGAATCCCTGTCACAGAACCTGAAGGTTAAGGGCAAACCACAGCCAACTCTTCAGCAGACCATAAGGGGGAGCAAAGCTAGGGCTCAAAGCGCGAGGCTCCAACTCTCTTCCAGAGCTGGGAGATGCAGAACCCTCCAACCGCAGACGTCTAAAGGCGCACAACGCAAAGGCCTGAGAGATCCTTCCGCGCCCCCATGCCTGCCTCTAAGTGCCTCTCCCCAACCTCGATCAAAGGGCGAGTTACCACCGGCAGCCAGGCCACAGCCTTGGTGCTGCCGCCTAGTCACTGAAAAAGGCGGTGCCTCCTGTGCTTGGTGTGTGGAAACTCAGCCCCCCGCGTGCGACCTGATATGCCCCAACCCCGGGCCCAGCTGCGCTCAGGGACGCCTACGGTCCACAAGGTCGCGAGAGCTGCTGCCCGTTGCCCTGGCTCCCCGGCCTCTCCGCTGACCCCAACCCATGCAGATCCCGGCTTGATTTTAGGAAATGAATCCCAGACAGCTTGGCTGTGGACCTTAAAAATCATCTCAGCCCTCCCCTCCCCTGAAAAAAATTCATTTCTAATGGTAATTAATGTGGAAATTAATTGAGGGGTTCTCTTGCACTGATGACATCTGTCAAGCAACCAGACACGTGGATTTTGCTAAATTCTTTTATTTTTGTTTAAATTTTCACTTCAATTTTAATTCTTGAAGAACAGCCTCGACAACATATATCGCACTCATTATAAGAAGCAAAAGGTTATATCAAAAATTATTAGTATAGAATCACAGGAAATCTGGTTTGGAACCAGAAAAAAATACAAAACAGATATAGATACATAGACACAGGACAAATTTTTTTATAATTATTTGGAAAATGTTATTTTCCCCTAATTCTTGTTTCTTTTTTTTTTTTTTTTGTTATGCGCATACGATGTTTAAGTTTTACAAAAAAATGAAAATAAAGGCTAATATTTTACAAAATGAATAACAATGTTTGGGGTGGGGTGTGTGTGTGTGTGTGTTTCTACATAGGATTCAGTCCACTTCCATGTGTGTAGTTTTTCTGTACAGAATATATCCACATCCGTCCACAATAAATCCTGGAAGGTCCATTTAGTTTCCTTCGGTTTTATTAAAATTTTCATGGTCCTCTTTTCCAATTATTTTTTCTCTTTTTCTCACCAGACATAAAATCCTTTTTCTTTCCTTTCCAACGTGTTCACAAATCTGATCCTAAACGAGTCTCTTTTTCTCCTGGTTTGCACCTCGGGTTGCATTTCTGCAGGGTAGGCTGCTCCTGTCCCGGCCCTCTTCCCCCCCTCCCCCCACCCTGACTGCCAGGCCTGCCCGGCCCTGGCACCCTCGCACCCTTGTCAGTCTACCGGGCGTCCCGGCGGCTTTGGAGTCTTTGGCCCGGGCTGGTCCTCTGAGTCTCTAGGGGCCGGGGGCAGGTGGAAAGCGCCCGAGGTCTAGGAGCACTGGATGGACATGTAAGGCCAGTTGAAGCTGCTCCCAGACAGTAACATATCGCGGATGAGAGTTTCGATGGGGGTTTTACCTACCAAACGGACGAAGAAGAGCTGCTCAATGACGGAAGAGGAGACCGTGCGCAGAGAGGGCAGTCGCAGAAGCAGTTTACCGAAGCGGCTCGGCTGGTTGGGGTACTGGCTTCTCACGTACTCCTCCAGGGCGCACTGCGACTTCTCCTGCAGACTCTCGATGTGGGCGGCATCCGACAGGCCACAGGCGTCTGTCCGAGCAGCCAAACGAAGGAGAGATGGGGGAGGCGGCACACGGTTAGATCGGCGAGCTCACTCAGCAGAGGCCAAACAAGCCACCAAATAAATAAATAAGAAAGAAAGAAAAGGAAAAAAATATTTCCCTCTAACCCTCCCCAATCCCTCCTTCACCATTCTCTGCCCCCAGCCCCTCACATAAATAAAAATAAATCAAACCCTCACCAAGCCTAGGGGAGCTGGAGAGAGAAGCATACACATGCAAAGGCAGCAAGCTCTCTAGCCCTTTGTTTTTCCTCTTTCACCTTTGGATTAAATAATGTACGATGCTGGATCCATGTTTGCTTTGCGTATCAACCTGTCCTCAGCCTGCAGGGGAGCATCCTTCCGGCTGTGCTCATTAAAGGGAGGACTTTGGCCCCCTTTGCCCCTGATTTCCGGGTGTTCAGGAGCCCTAAAGAAACATGCAGCCTGGAGGCAACTAAAGGCTTCTTGGAGTCCCCTCTCAAGTCCAAATCACTCCAACTGGAAACCTTAAGGAGAACTTAGATTGTGTAGTGAACAAAATACATGGGAGGGGGCGGGTAAGGAATCCTGGGCTGGTAGTGCCTGGAATCAGATCAAGCCCACGTTGAGCAATATAGGGTTTGAGATACACTATCTAGGCAAGCAAGGACTCTGTGGCAAATCCTCAGTGAGGGTGTACAGTTCTATCTGTGCCTCAGATCAAGTAATTGAAAATTGGTCACATCTCTGTAAGCTGTATAATAATCAGGAGGAATATGGCTCCGTGACTCCAGGCTGTGGAAAGGAGACATCTTCAGTGATCAGACACAAAGCTGGGCTAGAGGCAGCAGCTGCTGCTGCTTCAGAGCTAGGGGTTGGGGGAAGGTGAGGGATTATAGGCAGAGAACCTTTCTGTGGCAGGACCAAGGGGGAAAAAGGCACCTCCACACAAGAAAGGTATTTCAAAAACTCTATTTACGTCACATCAACCATGGCTCTTCATGGTCCTCAAAATATTTCAAGACAGCGCGTTATACTATATCAACTAACTAGAGACAGGCAAATGAAGGGGAAGGTGGAGCCAGAGGAATGGAATGAAGACTTTCTCTCCTAGTTCAAACACCCATATTATTTCTTACATTAATAATAAATATTTTGAAAACAGGAAGATTACAGAGGGGCCCTTAGCCAGTCAGGAGGTTGACTAGAGATCAAAGGCAGAGTTTGCTAATATATAGATCTAGGGAGAAATTCATGCATGGTAATGTCCCCAAAAGGACATTGTATAATAGTGAGTGGGCAAGTGTGACCCTAAGACGATACAACAAATAATTCAAAGGGAAACCTGTGTGTACTGAGTTTCTGAGCTTTACATCTTTATATTTCAAGAACTGGGATTTACAAAGCATTCTAACACCTTCATCTACAAGGCAATGGCCCCAAGCAAAAATATAAATAAAACTACTGATAATTCAAGAACTTCTGAGGAAAGCCCCCTTTGACCCTAGATCCAGACTGCGTTCCTCTCAGATGTCTAATTACTCCAGCCAGCCACTGGGGTGCATTCACACTGGCCTGTTTGGGGAAGCCAGTGATGTTGTACAGCTAGCAGGAGCAGGACAGGAGCTCTTTGGCATTTCACTGCTTAGATAGGCCTCATCTCCGCCTGTGGTCCTGTTGTTAACCTGGCCCTGCTGAATGGCCACCATGCAGACCCATATTGACATATATCTTGCTTTACATGCATCATCTTTCCATTATGCCACAGGATCCCTTTCAGTTTCAGAGAATGCAGTACGAAAAGGACCCATAAGACTCATATGGCATCCCCTTCAGGTCAGTAAAGTATTTATCTCATATTTATGATTGGGGGTACCAGAGTGCAAGTTCACTTCCCCACTCCTAGCTAGGCCACTCCAAGGGAGGGAAGTCCAGGAAAGACAAAGTTGAGTTCTGTGTTGACTGCTTCCATGTTCTTTCCTCCTTTGGAAAAGGAATGCCTATAAACTAGCCCAGGTTGCCAGGTGTCAGGCAGCCAGCCCTGTGGCCTTCTTCTGTTAGGAGCTTGCTCTGGCCTGGCTTCCCACTCTAGACATTCGTGTATCCACTCCCACTGCAACACGATTCCCCCAACTTTGGAAGACAGTATGGGCTTTCAGATCAATTGAGTGGTTTATGCTGCAGAGATAGGTGAGCAGGGGGTGTACTGCACTACACACTTGTACTCCATGAGCTATACTCCAGATAAGAAAGAAGGTAGAATGTGCAAAATCTGTGTCCCACTTTTTATTATAAGGTAGTGTCAATGTGGGAACCTTCAATATTTCTTCTACTGTGGATGGAAAAGAAATTATGTAAATAAATAACCATTACTGCTCAGACCCTCCCGGCTTAGCCTTTGTAGTGTGGAGAATGTATTTCATGTTGTGCATTCAGAAGAGTTTAGTGTTCAGGAAATATAGATGTAATCAGCTGCCATAACTAGAAATCAAAGTTATTATTGCACTGAAAATGGATTTATTGTATTTATGTTAACTAGATGGCTCCTTTCAGAGAAGGTCTCATTTATTTCAAGGAATATTTAGGTGTATGAATTAATGATTTTTTTTAAAGTAAGTTCAGGTCATGACCTAGTTCTTGGATGCAGTCCAGAATATTAAGGATTAAACATACCATCCGGAGGCCAAATGTGAAAACCACCACGGGGGACCCCCGTGCCAGCTTCAAATACTTAGCTGGAGCAAACCACATTGGACAATATGTCTAAAACTGTCTTTTCCATCACTCAAAGTTTGCTTAAAAGTTGGATGACTTTGAGAAGGCTTCCCATGAATTCCCTTCTGGCTAGCAATCAAAACAAGTTTAGTCAAAAGTGGAAATGTGTTGTATGGAGAAGAGGGGTGAATTACTACTGACAGCTCTATTTCCATTTTCAGATATTCTGCTTGCAATTTTCCAACAAAATAATGTTATTGTTCACTTCTAGACACCCCTCGCACCCTGACGACTTGGTTCAAGCAAGTTCTTTGGGAAAACTTTTTTAAAAGGAACACTTTTCACAGGGATGTTTTAGAATGGAAAGTTGAAAGAAAAGCATTAATAATTCCACAATCTTCTCTGCAGCCTGCACAGCCCTTGCCTCTCTCTGGGAAAGGGCATGAGATCAGAAAAGTCAAGGGGGTTCAAAGAACCTGGGGGGGGGGGGCGAGGGAAAGGGAGGGGAGACCTTTCTCTAGAAGACTTCTGTCCAGCTCCAAGTCACATTTCTGCTTCAAGACTCCTCACTGGATGAGATTGAGAACCCCCAGCTTCCCTGACACTGGCCTGCTTCCTGATGAATTTGGCTAAAGAGCTGGGTAGTGGAGAGGGAGCCAGGCTCCAGCCTGCCAGAGCTAAAGCAGTCTGGTCGCTGCTTCCCAGCCTCTTTGTCACTTTTGAAAAACACGTTTCCATCAAGAAGACTTATTAAGATAAAATGCATTCAAACATCGAGGAGGCTATTCAATAAATCTTCCATTTGTTTTAAGGTTCGCACTTTATCCTCTTGCAAAGAATAACTCCCTCTCGCACTAGCAGACCTGCATTTGCACTGAAAGTAAAAGGGGGCAGTCCAAGTCCATGGCTCTGGCCACCCTGCATACAAATGAGATGCTCCTGTCTAAATAAATTATCTGCTGCTCAGATCGATATTAATACTACATTTGCTACATTACAATATTGTGCAAATTTAAGAGTCATTTTAATACAATGTAAATATGATTCTTCACGCATGAGAGCCAAGAAATATTGATAGATTATACCACTGCTTACTGCTCAGCAAGGCCTTGGAAAGGGGTTTTGCCATCTTTGCTCAAGAAAGGTTTTAATTTGGCCTTTGGAGGGCCTGCCTCTAGGATAGATTTATTAGGATGGTTTATTTGTTCACCGAACAGTGGAGTTAAAAACAATAGTGCCAATAATGGTGGTAAAACTGCAGCTAACACTACTCACAGTGGGCAGGGCCCAAGACCGAATCTGAGCAGCTCTGCTCCCCACCAGAGGCCTTTCTGGCTTTGTTTATATTTTCCCCCATTACCTGCTGTCCCTGGTGTTTATATGTTTCCTCCTTGCAGGTTACAATAATAATAGGCGGGCAGTGTTCTCAGAGGCTCAGACCAGAGCCCTTCAAAGGCAACGTTAATGCACTTTCCTGGAAGTTAATTTGAACCATCTATCATAAGAGAAATTGTTAACATGCATGTTACCACCGCCTACACTTAATTTGATATTTTTAAGGCAGTCTGTTAAATTTCCAATATTCAGATGTTTTACATAGCCATGAGATTTATCTCTAGGTCGGGAATCCTCCCATACTTGCGGGTCCTGCAGTACTGCTTTTGTTTTTTATCTTTCTTGTTTAGATCGAATCCGTTTTTTACGACCCTCAATAACCTCAGCAACTGCAAACATGAATGGTTTCCGATAAGGGAAAATCAGGCAGCAATAAAGCAGGATTATTTATGATTTATTTGTGCGTATCCTTCTCTTTCCACCTCTCTGTATCTCTGTGTGTTGGAAAACTCATCCAGGGAGCGTGCCACACAGAGGAGAAAGCCACATTCCCACGTTCTCTTGCTTCCCTCACCTCCCCCAGAAACGCCGAGCTCTGGCTCACGCACATGCACACCGCGCGCACACACCGCACACACGCGCAGCCAGACGGATTCACAGCACCGCCTCCCACTCGTACAGACACGCACCCGCCACCGCAGCGGCCCCGCGCCTGGGGCCAGGCCGCCGGGTCCCGCTACCCGCTGTCTGCGCCCGCACCGCCTCGGCTCCCGCACAGCCACGCTCCCAA